TCAAAATGAATTACTGATTCTATGGAGTCGAGTAAATGGTATCGAAATGGCGGGAAATTTAAATTATGTAGTGGTTATTTTAGCACGGCTATGTATATGAGTTTTTTGCCTACAAAAATTTACTTTGACAAAGTGAAAAAAATAAACTTGTTTTATTCATGATTCATGTAATTTAAGGAATTTTGAAAATAAAAATTAAATTAAACAAATAATACATTTAAGAAATTAATGATTCGATTATTAGAATATTTTAACCGATTTTTTGAATATTTTGCCGATTATTCGCATAACAATGAATTTTAATCATCCAAACACTACGGTAATATACATAGCGACTTGTCATTGAAACGACGTTAAGTAAAAAAAGTTAATACTGGTTATTTTTTGATATTTTGCTTTGTTTGAAAAATTCAAATTTAAATTAGTGATAAAAAACTATACACGTTGTAAAGAAATATAGATAACTTCATAATTCTTCGGATTTACATAAAAGGTTATTTTAAATCGTGAGAGTACGCTTGTGCAAAGTTATTGCGGAATGATTAATGTGAAACGTCAAAAGGTATTTCTTAGATTTGGTTGACTATAATTCATATATTAAATTTTGGCACAGCCGAACTTTACACAGAAAGGTCATATAATCCTAGCGTCGAATTTAGGGAATATGTAAAAAAATATTCCAAAATATTTAAAAGAGTGTGCTCCATAGCCAAGTCATTGTATTTGAGCAACAAAATAAAGACAGCTTCTAATAAAATTAAAATGACATGGAGTATAATTAATAGTGAAACTGGTAAGGTTAACTCTCACAATTCGAACTATCGGTTAAGTTTTAACAATAAATTAACTGAATCAGACCAGGACGTTGCAATGGTTTTCGAGAAATATTTTACTGATATTCCTATCTTAACCACTGAATTCGTCACTGAATTCTTCTCCCGCCGTCGCCGAATCATTACTTAAACAAAAAGTAAATGCATGTACAAAGAATTTTACATTTCATAAAGTGTCATCAAAAGACATTCTAAAATATTTTAAGACTATTGATGTTAAGAAAACCACCGATCTGTGGGAGATTTCGGTTAAAGTTATTGCGTCTATAATAGATGCAATCGCACCTCCTATCTATTATTTTTAATACTAGTATCAAATCTGGTGTGTTTCCTGATTTAATGAAGCATAGTAAAGTAATACCTTTATTTAAATCTGGCAATACATTAGACCCCGCTTATTTTAGATCTATTTCTGTACTGCCAACACTTAGTTAATTTTTTTTTTAAAAAATATTCTTAATCAAATGTTAATTTTTTAATGTAAATAATTTACTTCATAAAAATCAATTTGGTTTCACAAGGGGTCGCTCAACTACTGATGCTGGTGTTGAGCTTATTAAATATATCTTTAATGCATGGGAGAATTCACAGGATGCTTTGGGTATATTCTGTGACCTATCCAAGGCCTTCGATTGTGTTCACCATGAAACATTAATCAGGAAACTTCAACACTACGGTGTAAGAAGTGATGCTCTTGAATTAATTATTTCATATTTAAGTGACAGAACGCAAAAATTTGTCATTAATAGTATGAGTTCTTCCGGGTCGACTGTACAAATGGGCGTGCCTCAGGGATCAATTCTCGGCCCCTTTCTGTTTCTGGTATATATTATTGACTTACCTTACATAGTAGGGGATAACCATGATATAGTATTATTTGCTGATGATACTTCATTAATTTTCAAATTAAAACGACAGTTATTAAATTACGACAAAGTAAATAATGCCATAGCTAAGTTAGTCAATTGGTTTAATGTTAATAATAGGCATTTAAATGGTACTAAAACTAAATATATGAAATTCGTAACTCCTAATGTCAAACATGTTAATACGAATGTAATTTTAAATGAGGAAGAACTGAGTCTTGTTGATACCACCATTTTTCTTGGAATCACGCTAGACGCAAAGCTTCAATGGCTCCACCGTATATCTAAACTAGCTAGCAGACTTAGTTCTGCAGCATATGCTGTAAAAGGATTAGAAGTCTTACCAGTGTTGAAACAGCTAGAATAGTTTACTTTAGTTATTCCCATAGCATTATGTCGTATGGTATTTTGCTATGGGGACACGCGACTGACACTGAAATTATATTTATTTTACAGAAGAGAGCCATTAGAGCAATATATAATTTAAAACCAAAGAGTCACTGAGACAAAAATTTAAGGAAATTAAATATATTAACTCTGACCTCTCAATACATTTATGAAAATACAATGTACGTAAGTACACAACAATAAACATAGTTTTTCAAAAATAAGTGATATTCATTCTGTAAATACTAGGAACAGACACAAGCTAGTAGTACCAGTTACTCGACTCCACCGAGTCAGTAATTCATTCTTGTGGCGATGTATACGTTTTTATAACAAAATCCCAGAAAATATACAAAATTTGTCATATGCAAAGTTCAAAATTTTTATTAAACTAAGTTTGTATAAAAAGGGTTATTATAATATTAAGGAATTTATGGATGATACTTACCCCTGTGAAAGGATGATCGCTACCAAGCTATTTCTAATTTGTCTTGTGTTGTTAAGTTTAAACCTGATCGTAAGCTATTATTTGAAAAAAAAAATAGTCCCGCTGGGTTTCTTGCTGGTTCTTCCCGTGACAGAGGTTTTTTTGCGAACCAGTGGTAAATAAAAAAATTGACTTTCAATAAGTATTGTTTATAATCCATATTGAATAAAAAAGTTTCTGTTTCTGTTTCTAACAAGGATTACATTCTTACTGAAAAACTTTACAAAGTAGAAGTTTTCACTCCCGTGTAAAAAAAGCAAAAAAGTCCAGATGGCTCACTGTTTTTACTGTATATTGACTTCGTATGTCATGTGACGTTGTGTGTATGGAAAAAAACATAAACGGCGTTTACGTTAATAGAGATATTCGATTATTCCAAATTACCTGCAAAATTTCAAAGCTGCAATTCCTCTACTATAGGCTATATTATTCACGTGGAACCAATTTTAAACCTTATCTAGAGTACTATTCAATTCTCTGACGGTCTCAGTTTTTGATCGACTTTTAATATGACTTTTTATCTCTTTTTCCCTTTTTTATTTAATTTTATTTTATTTTTAAAGATGGAAAACCAACAGCTTACAAATCTTAAATAAATAACATGTTAAATTTACAAGTAGCCAATAAAAGGTTCTCACTAATAGAAATACACTGACATAATCTTTCGTCGTTTAAAGGACATAGCACAATTATGAGCAACAATAAATGGAGTCTAATTTAAATGCACAACATCATAAATTTAATAAGTGAAACTAACAATAATAGCCACAAAGGAAAAGAAAAACAGGGCTAAATGCACAACATAATTGTTCTTAAAGTAAATTAAATTACGACACAAAAAACTCTCGACTTAATGCCCGCCTTGCCGATACATAGCTAGTATTAAACAAATCCAAATCATGCTTTTTGCATAGACTGTTAAAAATATTACTAGACTGATATAAGAAAGTATTTCTTCCGTAATTAGTTGATGAAGCTGGTAAGTAGAGTAATGCATTCGTTCTAAGGTTAACCGTAGGTGTTCTCAGTGATATTTGTGATAGCAAATCTAAGCAGTCAACATTGCCAGAACAAATTTTCAATAAAAATACAATGTCAGCAATCTCCCGACCCTTTATCAAAGGTAACAGATGATGACGTTTGCATAAAGATATATAATCTTCTGAACGGTATTTTCTATGGGTATGATAGCAAAGATATCGTAATTTACGTTGAATAATTTCAATCCGTGAAATGTACTGCGGACGTAAGTGCAGTACAATATTTTAATTGTTTTAATGTTATTAAACTCCTTAGCAGTACGCATGACAAAACCTAACGCCTTAGATGCCCTAGCTATGATATTGTCAACATGGTTGTTGAATAATAACTTAGAGTCGTAGAAAATCCCTAGATCACGTAAAACTGATTTTTTTTGTAGCTTCTGACCTTTAAGGCGATAGCCGAAATTAATTAATTTTCGCTTGCGTGAATATGTAATGAGGGTACATTTTGATGGATTTAGTTCAAGCTTATTAATAGTACAGTATTCCTCCAATCTTAGTAGATCTTCCTGCATTAATTCAGCATCAGCCTGCGATGAGAATGTGGAAAATATTTTCATATCATCAACAAAACACAGTAGGTGTGATGATTTAAAACAGGTTTCAATATCATTAACAAATATCAGAAATAGCAACGGTCCCAGCAAGGACCTCTGTGGTACGCCACTTGGTACTGACACCCAACCTGATATATAATTGTTAACAACTACAGCTTGCGAACGATTGTCGATATAAGAGGAGAACAACCGCAGTAGGTTTCCACAGATACCAACATACTGAAGTTTTTTTAAAAGCAAATTATGTTCAATCCGCATAATCCGCGTTTTTCAAACTTTACCTCCATAATAGCATTTCTGCTGTATCGTGGAGGCATTTAACATACAAATATTGCACAAAGACAAACATCCAGATTTGGAACAATTGCTTCTAGGCCATACAAATACTTTTTCCGTGTGGGATACGAGGTCGCGGTCATCAGCGCCGCTACTCAATGTTAAACCACTGCGTCACGAAGCTGACAATGTTAGTGAACTAACTATGGTAAATCATTAATGAAGATAAAAAACAAGAATTGATCACTATTGGATCCCTGTGGCACACCTATTTTTATTACAGAACGTAAAAAAATTATACCATTGATTCAGGCCTTCTGGATCCTATTGCTTTAAGTAATAATCCAATAAATGTAAAAAAAATTGAATAAAAAGACTTATTAAGACATATCATTTTGATTAATTTAAAGGCTTTGGTTGAATAACAATAGACACTTATAGTATTCTCCAAAGCTATTGTATTATCCGAAGCGCTATAAATGTGCTGAATTAAAAACACCCCTGCATCACATATGAAACGCTTCCTAGTTAATTCTAACTGATGTTGTGTATTAGTGTATGTAAATTGAATATCTATTTGCGATGCATTTGTTGGGCGCTTGATCGCATGAGTAAAGAACCCCTTCTGACCTGTAGTTAAATCGCAGTAAGCAGCAGATGTACCTGTAGCGAGAGTGTGCGGCGTGCGCAAGGCGCGGCGGGCTGCTGTCGGCGGACGCGGCGCCCGAGCGTGCCCAGGCCGCGCGCCCCGCCCGCGCCCCGCCCACTCCGCACGCCGTTGCCGCCGCCGCCGTCGCCGCCTCTGTAAACCGCCATGTTCTACACTGTGTATACTCGCATAGTCGTACCGGACAACACTCCCCTTTAATCACATCAATAGATAAACGGAACAGAGATAAAACTTCATACAACCGCGCGAATCAGTTGCACTGCTACAAGCACACGGGGCATGTGTGCGTGACCACTGGCCGCTTGTCTCGTACGTGCGACGAGACTGGAAAAAATCGGTTATACTGCCACAGCCAGTGGACAATCTCAGGGTCAGTGCGACGCACGTTGTTTGTTTTGTTAGTTGCAATTTAATGTAAAAATGTGGTATTATTAATAATGGTTGTTTATTGTACTGTGTGTATGAATAATAGTAGAAACAATAAAAATAATATCATACTTTAATAATCCCAAGGAGTACAATCGGTAGTAAGTATTTGATTTTAGCTTTTTCAAGTAACTACCTTTATTTTATTTTTATTTTATTGTACGTTCCTTTTTTAGTAAGTAGAGGGTGCTAAGGTGTATTTATATCTTTTTGTTGTTATTACAAGCTTTTACCTACTAAACATTTGGTAGAATACGTATGCGTGTTAAGTTCATATACTGCAAGTAAGATTTCAACCACTTCCCGATGTCTGATTGAGTTGAAATTTTATGTACTGTAACTTCAGTGACAATGCAATAATATGCTAGATATAACCTGTGAGCTAGATTTGTCTCCTCACTGGGGAACTCTCCTCACAGGGGTACGGTAGTAATAGGGTCACGAAATTTTGTATGTTAGTTTAATTTTGATAGTTTAACACAATTTTTATCATGAACTGCTGCTGCAGCAAGCATCTTTACGACGGAACTCTTTAATTGTTAACTCGGTGGAGTCGAGTAACTGGTACTACTGGCTTGCGTCTGTTCCTAATATTTATAGAATGAATATCACTTATTTTTGCAACCCTACCAAAACAGTTAAAAATTTTACGTGTTCTTAAGAAGCTTTGTCTCTGTTCCGTTTATCTACACATGTGCCTTTAACACTGTTTACGAGCAAAAATACGAGTTGGTCATCACAATCTATCGGAAAGCTACAATACCTTCCGGATATTATTCTAGGTTGCCTCTTGCGACACCTACGCAATGAGATAAGCTGATGCAATATCTTAAGGTGTTACTACACCGTTTCTCAATTTTGGTGATAGTAGTAGGTTATAGACTGTTAAGTCCACTACTAAACAAAAGGCCATACTTGCTGCGCTTGACTTGGGGATTGCAACTGCAATTTTTTTAGCAAGAGAGTGCTGCCCATCTCCTGATTCAATTTACCTCCGTCGCCTCTACAACACCCACGGGATAACGTGGAGGAATGGATATAATTACACCAGTACATGGTTAAGCTTCATATAATTTAGAGATTATTGTACCCATAATGCCATGCGGTGCTGGGGTAAGAGAATTAATTATGTCATATTGCCCCGTGGGTGTTTTAGAAGGTGATATGACCAAAAGTTTCAAGGCTTCAGATAGACGACAGTAAACCAATTTGTTCACGCCAAACATAAAACACCCAAATTGCTGACAGCAACCAGCGTCAAATTTCTTCCATAATTATACCAACTATGGTAAAGCGTCACATCCAGTACTGGATTTTTATGGGCTGGCAAAGAAATAAAAAAATATACGGATTAGTAAAATATGAATTTTTAATCTCACCTATGCTGTCTTCCTCGGCAGTGGATAGAGTAGATGTTGGATCAAGAAGTGGTGCGGCTTCGGCACCTGAACGTTCACTATCGTTCTCACCGTCTGACTCGAACAGAACCTCCTCGGATCTGTGATAAAATTTCACTTACGACGTTTCACGTATGATTTTAGATAAAAACCGTTTAAGATAATTTGGTCCACAATGGCTAAAAACTTAGGGCTACATCTGATTGGAAAGTTAAAGAAAATTAGTTAAATTAGTTAAAATTAAGGATGCAAATATAACAATCTAAAGAGATTTATAGATACATAATTTGAGCATTATAAAAATAATATATGCCCTGCTAACTATTCGTAAATTAAAGTAGAAAATATACAAACTTATTGCAATATATAAATATTATTATAATAATATAATATAAAAAATATTGTAAATGTAGAAAAGAGAACGGAAGTATCTCCTCTTTTTATTCATCTGCATTTTATTTTTCAGTTAGTGGTGACAACGCATCTGCATTCTGATTTTGTTTGTGAAATGTGTTTTTGTCTATATACAACAGCAAAGAACACATATAGTCACTACGTTTTAGGGCACGGCATTTATCATCCACCGTAACCATGTAGTGACGGTGTAAGAATATGTGTGTGTAGTAAGAAGCGAAGGACGTAAACTGAAACAGGATATGGGAAGTAGCATTTCCCGACAACAGCTCAAATTTGTAAAAGCTACGGTTGCCAAGCCGCCTGCCAAACGTGGCAACTATGACAACATTCCCTTCTATTGGACAATTTATGGGAGAGGCCTATGTTCCATGTCTCTTCACCTGATCTCTCTGCGGTCGTGTTACACTGTGCTATTGGACCATGAGAGTAAGTTAATTGAGAGTGCCCCTGAATGTCCACTATAGTCCAGTCCTGCACATATGGCTAGTCTACGTTGACCAGAATGCGCTCTGGAGAACATTAATTATAATATGAAGCAGTGCATAGTGAACGTGGCGCGCACTCACTGCAGCGGCGGCGGCACGGGCAGCGGCCTGTCGAAGCCGTCCTTGCCCAGCAGCCAGTAGGTGTGCATGGCGCCCTTGCCCTTGATGTGACGCAGACCGCGCGAGCGCAGCCGGTAGCCGCCCGCCGCCGCCAGCCGCCCCGCCGTCGCCGCCGACACCTGGATGCGCCACGCCGCACCTGCAGCGAGACCTCACCTCATATTTCAAGGTTTCGTACGCTGGGCCACGACACAGTCCATCACATATACTAGATACGTCTTACTAGTTTCCTCCATCTTAGTCCTCGGGAGTGATAATGCATCTGTAGTCTTTGTTGATTTTAGATAATTGCAGGTGTTCATGAACTGCAGCGCCCACATATCATCTGGTGGGCTGTTAGCTCGTTTATTACACTAACATTTACGTAATATAACATACACACACATGAACACTTACGCCTGTCACTCAGAGACAGAGACAACCATAGATTTAGTATAAACTGACGATAGAGTAGATTGGTAATGCAAAAGCGAAAGATGCAGGCTGCACCATTCACGTACACGCTATCGGGCTGATTTTATTCATGAATAAAAACAAATTTCGCTTGTATTTGCAGAATCTCAGAATTCAAAGTGAAAATTCATGTTCGATATTCGTAATTAATTATAACTACACATGATGTGTAGTTCTCGCGTAAATATAAGAAATAATTATAACTAGGCGCGTAGTACTAAATATAGCTCACCTCAGAAAGAAATTCTAAACTATTATACTTCACGGGTACGATTGCAATGTTTAGCTATGTAAATGATGTTTTTTAGAGCAGGTTTTAGGCAGGGGAACAATGTGTGTTTAAATGGATAGGAGAAATTATCACATAGTATAAAAATTATCATCTGAAAGCAAAGCAATTGAATTTAAAATAATTACAATTACTTGAAAATCTACCTCGAAAATTTTTACCTTTAAGACGACACATCGAAAAGGCTATCGCCGAGTGAATACATAATTTCTATAAAAACTTGAAAAAACGCCGTCATAAGGTCTAAAATAGCGTAGCGCCCGCGATGATTAAAAGCGCTTAGAAATTTTCAGAATCTTAAATTATATTTTTTTTAAATTATTGATTTAAGTAATCAAAATAATGAGCAAGTAAATTATGAATATCGATGTTATGAATATATTTGAGTGATTCCCAAGCATAAGATTAAGTAATTTCGTTATAATTTCAACTACAGTGATTTTTAGAGGTGTTTTCGCAAATAATTATGATCGAGTCAAAATTATACAATCGTGTTTTTGAACAATCAAATTCAAGATAATGAGAAAAACACAAATGAAATGACATGAATTTACCTATATCAAAATTTCACTTTCGTTAGTGGTGTCATAGTCCTATATTATTCGATGAAAGGAGATGCATTTTTTCACGGTGTCGCCTTAACCCTTACTTTCGTAGAGTTTGCAATTATCGATAGTATCTTATCGAAATGTACTTAACAGGCTAAAGTACGCCTTGCATGCAGCCTCATTCAACTTTATATTTTTTTAAGTTTCCGATAACGTAGCTTAATATTGCTTCAAATCGTATGCAAAAACTTCTTTAATTAGAAATAGTGCAAACGAGCACGTAATCCACCAAATGTTAAGTGGATGCTGTGCGAGATTTTCACAAAATATGCCGACGATGATGTTCGACAAAATGATTGGAAATAATAAATAGAGAAAAATGGATTCCAAAGGAAATATTCGAGTACATGCAGCAAGTACTTTAAAGACAAATGTTTTTTATTGAGGTGCCCAGCGTGTAGTGGCGGTGTAACAATATTCACTACCCCACATCACCCCGGGTGTCGTTTGCTAAGCGTTGACAACCATGGCAAATGTACTTCTGTGACCCAATCTTTATTTATATAGAATAAGGGTGCCAAACGAGCACACACTCCACCTGATGTTAAGTGGATGCTGTGGCCCATAAATATCTACATTTATCCTCGATTACAAATCAGAATGCAGATGCGTTGTCACTCCTGAGGACTAAGATGGAATGCTTCGTTTCTAGTAAAAAGGGTCTCCGGATTTCTACACTCACCATACGAAACACAGAAGTATTAAGTTGCCATTTTACGCTGTTATTCTTTGATCTATTGGGGAGACCTATGTTCTGCAGTGAAGTTCAATAGGTTTTAACAGTAATACGACAGAGATGCATTAAGGGTAAATCTACAACATATACAACCATAAACACTTATTATTAAAATAATAAAGTATGCAGCAAAATTGAAAATATCTTTACGTAGATTTTTTTAATAAAATAATGATAGCAAACGAGCACACAGTCCACCTGATGATAAGTGGATTCCATGTCTCATAAACGTCTACATCTATCCTCGATTAAGAATCAAAATCAGATGCGTTGCGGCCACTGAGGACTAAGATGAAAAGCCCCATTTATAGTAAAAAGGGTCTCCGGTTTTCTTTTTCGGTTCTTCCTGTTGGGTTCTTCCCGTTCGGTTCCTCTGTTGTATTTCGAATGTGCAATTTCGCAAAACAATTTGCATTGCATTGTGCCGCTATTTTGCGCTGTTATTTCTCAATATCGTGATGCTTCCCCGGTCGAGCCGGCCCATTTGTGCTGTAGCCAATATAAAGCTTCAGCATGGCTAGCATACAAAATTTTTACAATATATTAGTGATCTTTGTAAAAATAAAAAATTGAAGTCGTAGTCTTGTTTGATACCTTTTTGATTCAGGTGGCTCAGGACCGTGCTGGCGTGGCATTACTTGGGGGAGGCCTATGTTCAGCAGTGGACTTGTGAAGGGCTGTAATGATGATGATTATTATATATTACCTGTTTTAATCTCAAAATAAATTGCACGAAACACTAAACACGAAATAAAGATGTAAAAAATTAATCAGCTTAGATCTGCGTAAAACAAATCATATGGATTTTGTGCTGTATCGTAGGAGTAGTTTAGAAACATAAATTAATAAGCACGAATATATAGCATCGAAATTATTATTTGTAAGTCATACAAATACTTGTTGCAACTTATTAGTAATCCATTGCGGCACCGAGCCGTCAGTCGTTTTTAACGTGTTTAATTTCCCAAACTAACGCCTGATTCTGTTAATAAATTAACTAAACATGTAGACAAACGATAACGAAGGGTGAGAATAATATTATGTAAGTTTAACTGGAAATGAGACATTCCACTTCAGTCGTTATGGGTGAGTAAGTTTATGGATTTTGATTCTTAATCCAGGGTGAATGTTGAGAATTATGGGCCACAGCATTCACTTACCATCAGATGGACTGTGTGCTCGTTTTTCAATGTTATTGTATAAAAAAAGCGTGGAGCGGCGACCGGTGGACTCCATGCGCGAGGCGGTGTTGACAGTGTCGCCGAAGAGGCAGTAGCGCGGCATGGTGAGGCCGACGACGCCGGCGCAGCAGGGCCCCGAGTGCAGGCCGATGCGCAGATGCAGCGGCTGCGCCGGCAAGTGGCGCACGCGGAAGCGACCGGCCAGGTGCAGCAGGTGCAGTGCCATGGTGGCCACGCTCTCTGCGTGATCGAGCGCGCGCGTGGGCAGCCCGCCCACCACCATGTATGCGTCGCCGATCGTCTCCACCTGCCCGCGAGACCGACCACTCCGCAAATTTATCCATTATCAACAGTTGGAAATGATGCCGACAATATCTTAATATCTTTATTGAAGTAAAAACTTCTTAAACTTTCTTTTCTTCTCTAAACTACATACTTGGATACATATTAGGTCCATTACCTATGAAATTGCCGTTTTATATGAATTTTTATTTCTATTAATCAAAGTAATCAGTTATGCAATCAATGCATCTCTGCCAACGCAGTGGCAGTTCATTGATGTCCTTCCTAAAGAAATCAGCTAGACGGGAGGCAACAAATTCTACAAAGGTATTTAGTACGCCCCTCGGATATTGAATCTTTTTCCCGCCAAAAAGTTATCCAAATTCTGGAAAAACTAAAAATTTGTAGGCGCAAGGTCTGATGAGAACGGTGAATGACTGAGAGTTTCCAACCTCAACTCTTGTAACTTGGACACCGTCTCTTGTGCATTATGAGGTCACGCGTTGTCGTGCAGAAGAAGCGGGGACGAGCGATCGACCAAAGCCGGTTTGAGACATGCAAGCTTCTCCTTTATCGTGATCAATTCTTCACAGTACACATCTGCAGTAATGCTCATCCCGTTTGGTAAGAAGCTGTGATAAATCACATTGGCGCTGCACCACCAAACAGTGACCAACATTTTTCGAGCGGTAAGTTATCGTTCCAAGATGATAAATCAGGATCCAAACAATTTTCTGAACGCTTGCGACTGTAAAAAAAAGAACAGAAAAAATAAACAGTCAACATTTTTCTTCGCAGGTAACATTGCGTTTTAAAAATTCCTTCGTTTGTGTGCCTGTTAAGCAATGCAAGGCATGTCTCGACGAGTACTTTGCGCTAGCGATTATTAGGTTCATGGAGCACCCATTTATCAAACTTTCTAGTAATAGATCTTTACGATCTATATTGTTTTGATGCTAACTTCGAAATCTGTTGCTAATTCAGCCGTAGACTGAGTATCATCAGCTTCCACAATCGCTTTTAATTCGACATTGTTGAATTAAAAGCGATTGTGGAAGCTGATGATACTCAGTGAGTTGACCAAAGTTTTAAGTTTTACCAATAAGAGGTGATGCGAAAACAGATTTTTTGCGATGTACCGTAAGATTTTACGATGTTTATAGGAACCATAGACAATATTATTTAAGAAACAAAAAAACTTTTGTGCTGACCTAGAAGTGTGAATAATATCAATATTTAAATATTGTTATCACATCTAAATTGAGATTTTGTTAGTTACGCCTTTTGACACTCGGCTTGGCAATTCAATCGATTTGGCACATACTATAGTAACTAGCTTTATTTAATATATTTATCAATCACTGCAAACCTAAGCATTATAGGTACCTTATATACGCGATATTGTTCGATGGCGGCATCGAAAGTTGTGTAGAGGTCGTTCAATAGGTCCACGACCTGCACGGGTGTGGAGCGCGCCGCCAGCTCCGTGAAACCCACGATGTCACTGAAGTAAATGGACACCTCCTCAAACTCCTCGGGTTCCACGCGTGAGCCCAACATTAGCCGCTCTGCAACTGACCTGAAAGTAGATATTGTTGTACTATTAAATTAAACAATTATAATTTATGCAATATTTGCTTCGCTTTTGTTTGTGTAATCTGTAAAGAAATTAAGCTAATCTGTAAAGAGGCTACGCGAAATTAGTTCAAAGTAGTGGTGGACCTGAGAAAAAACTAATTAATCTGTATTTTGTGCTTAATTATCAGCAATAGACAATTATTACGATTAATTTCGATGAGCTACAATAATATTTATAAATTAACAAGCTGTTCTATATGACTTCGTTCGCGTGGAATTTATTACGGTTGTATTTCTTGGGTTTTTATTTCTTGCGCGGACCCACAACTACTTTTCTGAAATAAAAGTAGCTCTAGTCACTCCTTATAACATCAGCAGCATCTAGTGAAAGTTCTGTCAAAATCAGTCAAGCGATTTTGGAGATTAGCGGGAACAAACAGACAGGCATACAGATAAAAATTTAAAAATATGTTTTTGTAGTAAGTACCGTATATACTTTCATATGCATTTTGTAGAAAGCTGTTATTTTGACATTACAAACAGACACTTCAATTTTATTTATATGTATAGATTACGCCAGTTTCATTTCAATCAACAGCCATTTTGTAATGAAAGTTGCATGTATAATCGACACTGAATTTTTATTTTTCTTCTAAGTTAAACAAACCTACCTTGGTAACATCCTGTTGAGGAGTTGTTCGGTTTTCTTCTTTTCCATGTCCAATTGCTCCGTTCTCTCCTTTATAAGTTCTTCTAAGTTATTGCTATATTTTTCCAACATCTCGAACATTGAGTCGACTATATTGATTTTTCTGCAAAAATAATGTAAAATGAAGTTTCTACGTAGTGAAGCCACGCTGCAGATACATTAGGGTTGTAGCACGAGTGGGTCGACTCGATCGGGCAAGGACTTTGCACTCACAGCAGCGTAAAATAGAAGCTTAGTACGGCTATGTTTCGTATGGTGAAAGTAGGAAACATTAAACCCTTTTTACTGGAACGGGGATTTCCATCTTTGTCCTCAGAGGTGACGACGCATCTGCATTTTGATTATTAATTGAGGATAGACATCTATGGGCCACAGCATCCAATTGAAACCCGTGCGGTTAAAAATAGGGCAGAAAATTACGTCGTCTCTATTCGCCTTTCGCTCGCATACTGTCGCTATCTAACGCTAAAGTTACAGCCACCGGTAAAGAGTGCAAAAGAAGCACTTTGTGGCATACGTTTTTCGGTACGTTCTATAACTTCAGTCTAACTTGTCATTGGAATCAATGATAAAAAAATCCCATAAACTATTTTAAAAAACAGTCCGGTTTTGCCAATTTATGAGCTACGCACGACGACATGACGTTTTCCCTTCACAATTATTGTTGATTTTGTTTGTTAATATTTTAATATAAAATATTAACATGCCATTAAGAGATAAGTAACCATTTTTAAAATGTTCATTGATCCATCTGTCTCGGATAGGTAATAATAAATACATTTTTTCTATTAGTAGAAAATTCCAAATTAACCAAATAATATAACGCTATAACGATGCAACGTTATTGGCGGCTTTTCCCTATCGGTACTGTGCATGTTGACGGTACAGGTTCGATGAGTCACCATTTCTAATCCCATTCCAATTCTTTATCTGTATGGACTGTTTGCTCGATTGTCACCTTTAATCTATTAAAAAATCTACGATGAGTCGAATGATATAAAGAAGTTTAAAGAGAAGGAAAGCAGGAATGTTGTAATGTTACCGGCCGCGGTGCATGTGTCGGAATATGTCGTAGAGACGGTTGAAGTCGGGGCGCAGATCGGCCGCCTCGCTCCAGCACTGGCGCATCACGCCCACGGCCTCAGGCGGCGCCGCGCCCATCGACACCGATGGACGGATCAGCGGCGGCGGCCGGCACAGCTTCTCCACAATCTCTATATTGTACCCTCAACTGTATTCATCGTGGTAGAGCTACGCTGCAGCTATATTATGGTTGTAGCACGAAACGGTCGGCTCGACTGTGGTAGGACCATATTTTCAAGAAATACTAGCATAAAATAGAAGTGTAGAGAACCGGAGACCTCTTTTATTGTGAATGTGCCGTGATTACTGCCGTGACTAAGATTATACTGCAGTTATATTATTATGCTGTGTACAATTTTTTGGATTGTAGTTGCGATCAACACAAATATACTTTTAATTTTAGACCTTTATATAATTATTTGATCAAAGTAACTTACCTGTAAGTGTCCTTCGATCAAAATTATATGAAGTTGACGCTTCCTCTGTGTTTGTATACAATGTAGTCATGAATTGACGGACCGAATCACACGAATTTTAACCTTCCGGGGGAAAAATAAGATTTTTACTGGTATCCCAACCTATATGAACTCCCACTGGCAACACTGTACACCTCATGTCATTGTGAATTTATATCCACTAGAATTAGGAAAAATAATTGAAATGCAAGCCAGCTCTTAGGGTGGGTAATAAAATACAGCTGGTAAGGGTTGTACACAGAGGAGGCGTCAACTTCGTATAATTTTGATCGAAGGACACTTACAGGTAAGTTACTATGATCAAATAATTATATTCGTTGACGCCTCCTCTGTGTTTGTACACTATGTAGATGTTTAAAGATTTGATTGCTTCATTTTAATTATTTACTGTCATAAATTATCATAATTAACAATTTACAACAAAACAAACAATAAACACAATATATAAACCTAGATAGTATAATTTTCCATTTTGTATTATTGTATAATCATTTTATACTTTTCAAATTCTCTAAATTAATAATTGCTTCTTACAATAAACGGAAAAAGTTTTGGATGTAAGATTGCTGTCTTTCTAATACTTTCAATATCATCAATACTACTTGTTCTAGGACGACTCGTCCTGGACGAGAAGGGAATGAATGCCTGGTACTATGTACAGTAAAAAGTAATGTATTTTCTTGTTAAAATACTTTATCTAACTGGCTGTTTGATTTGTTGCAGGGATATTAAGCAGTTTTCAAAATTAACAACTAATTTACTAAATTTCATACAGTTTTAGTGACATACAATTAGGGATAATGTGAGGTAACTGATACAAGTGGCAAAATTAAAAACTTTGCACAACCGACTTAAATATAAATAAAATGAGATCATCAATGTATTCAAAGTCAATCGAATACACGTTATTAAGGACAGCTCGAAAACCACTGATCAGATCCCGATTAAATCTACATGAAATCACACTTGAAGCACCAGCTTTCAAATAAAAAAGACTCATCAAAATCGGCTTACACAGAGAAAGCTATGAGGCAACACACATAAAAAACATACAGTCGAACTGCAACACCTCCTCCTTCTTGAAGTCGGTTAAAATACTCATATTTTCTCTCTTATTCTTTCTCAATTTTCTTACCTCTTTAGCTGTGTTTACCTCTAATATTTTTTCTCGATGGTTGGGCTTGGCGCCTGCCACATGTTACGTGACAGTATCACCTCTGCTGGTATAAAGCAACCGCTAGCGGCTATTGCATGTCTAGTGAGTTGTTACTGATGGAGACAGGTCCCAATATTTTAATGGTTTCTGAATGTTTGTTTTATATTTATGAACATACTTTGATCTTTTTCAAAACAACACTTGGGTTTCCTTAAGAGCATTCTTTATAATCATTGGTTAGCTCTGATAGCAGTAATGCTGTTCTTAAAGGAGCCTCTTAAATTGTATAAAGCACATAACAGTCTAATGAAGTTATTTACAGCATCCATATTTATATACCTAAGACCTATACACACAATGTTGAAAATTGAAAGAATGTGGCCCATTTTTCACTTAACCTTCTATGTCTGATTTGGCACTTGTTAAAAACGAATGGAATTTGGAGAAAATAAAAGCAATTTTTCACTTAATACAAGATTGACTGATAAGTTTTCGGGGTTGAGAATGCCATGTGAAACAGATTTTTTTATCTTCTTCATCACTTGAGCAAATAATTTGTCTCCTCTTTTGTCCCGAAAGTGAGTAAGATCAGTTGTGAAAATAGCCTCGTGTACCCGCCGGTGGTACTGCGGGTATAATAACCTTTGCATACGTTTTTGTAGGAAAAAAAACATACGAATATTCATGTGAAATAGAATTCAATACCTCTTGTACCCCTCGTGGCACCGCAAGGCAGATATGTGATGTACAGTCTCTCGTTTTGTCTCCTACATGGATATTATAATGAACTTTTATTGCAATGTAAGCATGTATGCACATATTTTGGTAGTAAATACGAATGTATGAATATTCATATAAAATATAATTCAATGCCTCATTTGCCCTCTCGTGGCACCGCAAGACAGATAATATGTAATGTACAGACTCTCGCTCTGTCTCATACATTGATTTTATATTCCGATTTTATTAATCTACCCTACAGATTTTTTTAAATACATATGAAATATACGTATTCAATACATAAATACAATATACAAATTAAGTTTATTGAAAAATTATGTACTTACAGATCCTCGTTCTGTATCAAATAAATTTCACATTTCGCGTTATAATTAATCTACCCTACAAGTTATTTAAACGCAAAAAATTACATACATTGCAATCGCCTAAAATTTATGAGTGATTTTATTATTTTGCTAATAATAAAATTAAGAACTTTCACTTAAAAAACACTTTTAAGTGAAAGTTTATTTTAAACTATTTAATTTGAAGATGCGACTCGCTAATTCTGCACGAAAAATTCACAATGACATAAGGTGTATAGTGTTGCCAGTAGGAGTTTATATAGTAAAAATCTTATTTTTCTCCCGAAAGATTAAAACTCGTGTGATTCGGTCCGTCAAGTGATGACTATATTGTATACAAACACAGAGGAGGCATCAACGAATATAACTACTGTCTGTGTAGCTTATGCAATAAAATAAAATAAAAGTTGGCAACGAGGCATTACAACTTAGTCTTAAGGGGTGAAAACGCATGTGCGTTTCGGTTCTTAATTCAGGATAAATGTAGATGTCTATAGGTCTCAGCATCCACTTACCATCAGGTGCACTGAGTGCTCGTTTGTCGTCTACAAAATGTGTTTAGCGTTATTAAAACCACGTTGTTCTGTGCGGGCATAAACATTGGGAATGTTCACAAAAAAAAAAATGCAGCTGTTTCGTATGGTTCATCTTAGTTCCCAGGGGTGACACAGTGTCCAAACTCCTTTTTAGCCCAGGAATCCGTCTGAGCTCCACAACTAGGCAAATGTATTTAAACTTAATTTAATTTTTTATGGTCAATGGAACTGAACAAAAATTAGTTTCATACGTTAGAATACTGATTCAAATAACGCACTTAACCAGAACCACAGGGTTTTTGCGACACGTTATATATTTTGTTGTTTCAATCTGGTTACGGCTACTAGGTACTGCTGACCGTCGGGGCTGAGCGCCAGCATGCAGTAGGGCTCGCCGCGCACGATCACCTCCTGCATGATGATGCCGAAGGAGAATACGTCGCCGGCGGGCGAGCCGCGCCCCGCTCCCCTCGACTGACGCAGCAACTCCGGCGCCGTCCACAGCAGCTCTGCTTCAAACACATTTTTTTTAATTAACTATTTGTCCGATATATTCCGGAACAAAGCTCCTGGGAAGGACCACAAAGAAAGCTATGTATGATGTATGTTGTTCTACGATTGGTTTCTTAAGAAACAACTTGGCAGTCATTGTGTGGTATCATCCTAATATTGTCTCGTTTAGTCTTATTTGAATATTATAAACTGCAACATTTGAAACGTATCTTTGATCTAGTGGACGTATACACGACTGATCTTGAAGTCACGGGTTCGATTCCCGGGTTGGTTTGTAGCGGCGCTGTCGTCGCGCCACAAGCGAAATACACCGAAGCTTAAATCACGCTATCAACATTCCGAATCATAGACAGTATATGTAGAACTTCTCCGAACTATCACACGGAGTGTCAGCCGCTCCCCAGGCAAGACACCTTGCCTGGCGGGAGATCTCCCTTTTCCTTCATCGGCCACAGTGGTGACCCCGACGTGATCTGAACACGGCAACCAAACAACCTTCGGAAACTTCAAGCTTCATCATCGTCATAGAATACCCCACCCATTCGCTCCCGAGCAGATATAAACTGCAGTCTTCATATCCTGCAAGCCATCTAGCTTCACAAGGTTCATCGTAGCACTGGAATAATAATGCTTCCTGTTCCTTCAAGCTACTCTCTGCGCTATACAGTGTTCGGCACGGCTCTGAGCCTTACTGCTCGCCTCTGCTTCACGGCACTCTCGCAGATTACTTGCCTTCTTCTCGACTCACCGCAGACTACAAGGCAATCTCCTGGCACTTGCACATTCTTCGGCAACGAGGCTGCACTATCGACCTCCGGTCTGAGCAGGGGGGTGATGTAGCGGCGCTGTCGTCGCGCCACAAGCGAAATACACCGAAGCTTAAATCACGCTATCAACATTCCGAATCATAGACAGTATATGTAGAACTTCTCCGAACTATCACACGGAGTGTCGGCCGCTCCCCGGGCACAACACCTTGCCCGGCGGGAGATCTCCCCTTTTCCAACTTCGGCCACAGGTTCAAAATTAATTACTGAGTTTTTCTGACAAAAGATTCACAGTAGCAACCTGGAATGAGAAAGTTGCAAAACACGTAAACCCGTTTTTCTTGCACCTGATCGCTCTCTAGTCGAATCGGTCTCTATTCATGTGAAGGAATAGAGAGTGCACCTGTGCTTGCACATGCACTCTGGCATTATAATACTATCCTGCGCAGATGGCTTATATACGTTGAGATTGACCGCCGAGGCTGAAATTCGGTCTAGAAGACATTATTATAATTTACAAGCTTGTTGATAGGCATTAGTCATAGTATATCTTAAAGTTTTGATGTTGAAACGTTTCGCCCCATCAACTGAAAATAAAAAAAACTCGAGAAGCTGGCGTTACTAGCTCGTAACACTTTTTTTCTTCACTCAAAGGATAATATATCTAAATAGTGTTAACACCATCGATTACTAATTTTTTTATTAGTGATCGACGGTAAACACCCACAAACTTACTAGTCGGATACAAAAACAGTCATAATTGCAAAATACTTCCAACCATTTTACGATTATGGGATTACAATATCGCGTACTCCGTGCAAAACCACACAAATGAAATCCCCTAAATAAATTTGAATAAAAACACTGAATTTACATTGATGAGCCATGGTATGGCTATGTTTGTAGCACAAATACACGGAATAAAAGCGAAAAACAGCAGTTCAATGCTGCTGTTTTTTGTATGGTACCACAACGCACAGCAGCATTGCACAAAACACAACAGTGGGGAACCGGAGACCCTTTTTACTGGAAACGAAGCATTCCATTTTCGTCCTGATGGGTGACAATACATCTGTATTTTAATTCTTAATCGAAGAAAGATACAGATGTCTATAGGCCACAGCATCCACTTGCCATTAGTTGGATTGTGTGCTCGTTTGTCACCCCTAGTCTGTAATAAAAAGAAACAAAGAAGCATAAAAGTTGTCAATGAATAAAAGATCCGTAAGAAACCTCGTGAGGAGCGATGGGGTAGTGGCAGGCCCTGGGCGCTCGCAAAGGCCGGCAGCCCGTAGTCAGAGACGCGCAGCACCCAGCGCGAGTCGACGGCGCAGTTGCGCGAGCTGAGGCGGCCGTGCGCGCGCAGCGGGGACGCGTGCAGGTAGCGCATGCCACGCACCAGGTCCGTCAGCAGCGACAGCCGGAACGTCCAGTCCAGCCGGATGTCGTCCGCCACCAGCACGTCCTCCAACGAGCCGCGCCCACACGCCTCGAACACCAGCGCCGGGCGCGCCTCCGCCAGGCACCCTGCAATATGTTTTTTTTTCTATAGGGTAGGGTGACAAACGAGCACACACTCCACCTGATGGTAAGTGGTTGCTGCGGCCCATAGACATCTACATCTGCATTTCGATTAGAAATCGAAATGCAGATGCGTTGTCACCCGTGAGGACTAAGATAGAATGCCTCGTTTCCAATAAAAAGGCTCTCCGATTCTCTACACTCACCATACGAAACACAGCAGCATTAAGCTACTATTTCACGCTGGTATTCTGTGAGAGCGTGGTCCTTCCCCGGTCGAGCCGACCCATTCGTGCTACAACTACACTACTAATATAACTGCAGCATGGCTCTACGACCTCATCACACTAATGTACTTTAAGACAACGTGAGCATAATCTGTGGGTAAGTGCAGACCGCGTTGTAGGAAGCAAAGAGTACCTTTTTTATGGCACAAAATAATTATGTTGAGGCTCATAGGCTATAACGCATTCTACTATTGACCAAGTCTCGGCGACTCTTCTGGTACGTAGTACAATTTTTTTTAACTCAATCTGATCAATAAGTGGCTACGGCTTTTGGGAACATTTTTACTGATGTTCGTTTTTTGACAATAAAATCTTTAAATTCTTCTCCTTCTGTCGCCGAATCATTGCTTAAACAAAATGTATATACTTGTATAAAAACTTTTAAAATGTCATTTAAAAGTTTTTTAACGGAGATTTCAAAATATACTTGTATTTTAAAACTATTGATGATAAAATAACGGCAGGCTTGTGATGGATTTCCATTGAAATTATTGCGTCTGCAGCAGCGCCTTCTCCAGACACTGTCTTTGATACAAGCGTCGGATCTGGTGCGCTTCCTGATTTAATGAATTAAAGTCATACCCGAAACCAATTGATTCATATAACTAAATTTGTTTTTACAAAGAGTCGCTCGACAGCGGTAGCGAGTGTTGACCTTATCAAACATATTTTTTGTGCAAGGAAGTATTCGAAGAACCTAAAATATATAAAACATACATATTTATAACGTCCTCTGAACTCTGAATATATATAAAGCACAACAAGCGGTACAATAATCTACATTTTAGCGTCAATAAAACTAAATGTATAAAATTTACAATACACAATGTTTAAAACCTGACTACCAATATGTTTTTGAATGAGGGAGACGCGCTGTTGAATACACTGTTTTTCTTGGCGTCACTCTCAACGCAAAACTTCAGAAGAGACCCAATTTATCTAAACTAACAAAAACACTAAGCTCTCCTACCCATGCTGCAAAAAGATTAGGGGTCTCACTGATGTTGAGATAGCTAGATTAGTTTATTTTAGTTATTTCCATAGCATAATGTTTTATGGGATTTTACTACGGGAACATGTGACTGATTAAGAAACTATTTATATTTTGCATAAGAGAACAATAAGAGAGATTCTCACAGAGAAAAATTTAAAGAAATGAATATAGTAAATTTACGAAAATGTTATCTACGTTAGCAAAAATAAAAGTAATTTTAGTAAAAAAAGTTATATGCACTGTTTAAACATTAGGAACAAACATAAGCTAGTGATACCAGTTTCTCAACTCCAGAGTCACTAATTCATTATTGGGGCAATGCATACGTGGTATATAAGGTCTCTCTATTAACAAATTTAAATGTTTTATTAAACGACTAAAACTGTATAAAAAGCGTTATTATAACATAAACGGTTATGGGAAGCGACCACCTCATTCCCAGTTGTTTTTAAATAAGTTTTGTGAACAGTTTGTACAGTGTTCCTTGTTGTATAAATTAATTTGAACAAGTCCTGCTCGGTTTCTTGCGGGTCTGCTCCCAGGACAGAGATTTAATCCGAACCAGTGGTAATAAATGTTTAATAAAAATTAATCTTTTCTGTTCTTTTCTTAAATGGAATATAAGAAACAGCTACTGTACCTGATTTTATATAGAATAAGGGTAACAAACGATCACACAGTCCACCTGATGGTATGCGGATGCTGTGGTCCGTAGACATTCACATTTATCTTCGAATAAGAATCAAAATGCAGATGCGTTGTCACCCTGAGAACGAAAATGGAATGCCTAGTATCCAGTTAAAAGGGTCTCCAATTCTCTACACTCACCATATGGAACACATTAGCATTAAGCTGCTATTTCACGAAGCGAGCTGGTATTCTGTGAGAACGCGGTCCTTCCTCGGTCAAGTCGACACATTCGTGCTACAACCGTAAGTGGCTGCAGTGTAAATCTACTACGTATAATAACTACCTATTTTGTGATGACATTCTTCGCACAATTTCGTACCAAGGATGTCGTAAGGTGGTGTCTGAAAGATCTTCTATTAATAGCAGTTTAAACATTCCGTTTATGCATAACAGGCGGGTTAATGAGCGTGTGATGTGACCCAACCTTAGTGCACGTGCTTTTCCAAATACTCTCACTAAGCGATTTCGTAGAAATTATGTTTTTAATATATTTTATTTTACAATTTCATGACCAACAAACGCCCTTTGGGCTAAGAACATGTTTCCTTTAAGCTCTTTGGAATATTTACTAGCACTGATAACGCGATAATTTTCAGTTGATAAAGTAGCATTTTTGAGTTCCCAGCGGGGTTAGCCAAGATATAACTATAAAAATTAATGAAAACAACGCTAGGTGTCACGTGACTATACATTCAGATCTCTCATTTCCATTTATTTTTATAGCTTCTTAATGCAATAACGATCGTAGAAAGTCATCTTAGTTAACTCCATTGCCTCTTTTGTTAATAAGTAGGTTGGTTGGTTGGGCAGGTAGGTTGGTATTTGAAGAAGAAACTGTTATTTCCCTCTCTACCCCCGGTACATTTGTATGAGTTGGATTCTAAAAAACCGACCAGTGATCAAATCGTCTCGAATAAAATGCGATGCACTCATGTTTATGAAGAACACAAAAATGTAGATGGTGCAATAAAATTAGAGAACGTGGACAAGTTGGGGAATGTTTCGTCCCTGTCCAACTAAGCTCAAAGCGTCAGATCTTATCCTACTAGTACCAGATTGGACATAAGAAAATTGAAACAAATAAACTGTCATCTATTTGCACTTACACTAGCACCACTGCAATATGCGATATATCCTGCGGTTGACAACTATTAACAATAAGCGATGTTTGTCCTTATCATCAAAACCGGAATATTCCGTCGTAATGATCACTGTATTACTAATATATAATAATATTTCATGATAGTATATGCATATAATATAATTATACTTCATGTTAAGTAACACTGTAATTCCCGTTGTGGGATGAAGTTATCATCAAAAGTGAAATAAAGGTTCTATCACCTTTCCCTCGCCTGCTTCTTTAAAGGCACATCTAAAGTATTTCTAAGTGCCGCATGTTTTATCTCATATTCTGCTTATAGTTATTCGCAGCTTCTCCAATAGAAGCTTTTATTAATAAAACATGTCGATTAATTCATCACAGACAACATATTAAATATTAGCAGATAAATATCAAATACCAGAGCAGCGGAGTTAGCCGCGAAATTGAATTTCTATAATCGTTAACGCTAAACGAAAACTACATAAATGAATGCAATTAACGTAAAGTCTCGTCAGAGTTACAACATAGCGTTTTCAGTATTTAAATTTTTCTTTATTGTATTTTATTTTAGTTTTATCAGCATTAATAATTGCAGAAAATCAACTTATAATAAGGCTAATCCTGCAGAAATATCTAGATCGATGGGTAAGAGCAGTATATATAGTTCAGTGTCTTGTAGAACACTGATATCCTATTCTAACATCATACCTTATTTCGCCTAGACATAAATGTCTATCTTATCTATTATGTGTTGATAAGGGTGTTGACACACCTACAGAAAAGTTAGTTAAAAGTTGACTAAACATTTACATCTTTACAAAACTAGGCTTTACTCTTTGCCTGCTGTATTGTTTTTCCTCTTAACCATTTTATTATATTACAATTTATAATATTAATGGTTAAAACATAAATTAAACGATGTTTTGTGGTTTTAAACAAAATTATAAATGCAATGCAGCGCTTAAAGAATGAAATATTAGTAAGTGGGAAAGGAATTAAAAATCATAAACACAAAATGAATTGAAATGATTTATTTGAAAATTCATAAACACAAATTATTAAATGATATAAGTACATTTTGTTATTATTAAAAATTAAAGTTAATATGTATTCAATGTCAAGAAAAAAAATTAAAAATATGAGGATTATGAGAATAATGTACTGCAAAATATTTTTGGTCCTTTACGTGTATGATCTTTATCGCCTTCGTCAAAAGTATAAAATTCTCCGTACTATATTTGCATAAAGCATAGTAATATATCTTCTATGTTATAAATGACTGTTTATTAAAATATCGAGCAAGTAGCTGAAAGATTTTAGGTAAGCAATATTTTGTTTCATTCACTACTTAATAACAGATAAAAATAACAGTAAAATCTAATTTTAATTGGATATCTTATATACTAAGGCATTTAACATTAGTATCAATAATCTCTTCATTATACCTATGAAAGGATTGAGGTTTTCGTGGCGAAGACTTTGCATTACGAGAAGAATGTCAATAGCCTTCCGCCTGAGCTCCAGCGATCCGGCGACCGGTAGATACTTCATGTGTACCGGATCTCCCTGAAAATTATAATAATTAGTTTATTAATCACTATTCCGTATATTTAAAATTTTAAAGTTCTACATTTTGTCTGGCGATGGCAAGTTAAAAGAGTCCACCATCCAAAGTTAGGCAGGTGTCATAAATGCATGATTAAGAAACAGGCAATAGAATTTATATATATATATATATATATATATATATATATATATATATATATATATATATATATATAAATTTATATATTTTTATAAATTATATATATATATATATATATATATATATATATATATATATATATATATATAAATAGATAGATGGCGATATAGCATCTCAACATCGAAAATGAAATATCAAAGTGTAGAAAGTAGCGTCAAAAGTTGAGACATCAGGTGTTGCAATCGCCTATCCGATTGCCAAAAACCTTTTTGTGAAGATTACGACAACCGCTGGGAAGAAGGTTCTCGAGTAGCAGCCTCGTGCCGGTAAGTGTAGTGCGGTCCTACCACTACTGGATAAATTGACGAACTGGTAAGATATACAGGAAGTCGAATGCAGGTGGCTCAAGACCTTGCTTGGTGAGGTTTCTTGCGGAGGCCTATGTTCAGCAGTGGACTTGTGAAGGGCTGTAATGATGATGATGATGCTGGCGAATTTTCGGAAGAAAAATTCCCTTTTTTAAAACCTTAAAACGAAAATAATGGTTGCCAAGAACAGCAGCACTACAGGAGAAATATATATATATATATATATATATATATAGTGTAAAGGCAGCTAGATATAAAAAAGTCTCTCTTAGTCAGGCTGCGTATTGAATACCTTATATCTGGTGCGGCGGTCGGGTGGCAGGCGCGAGATGCTGCACGTGGATGATGGTGCAGATGGGCGGCGCGGGGCGGGGGGGTGCGCGGGGTGCGGCCCGCCAAACTCGTGCAGCTGCTGAAGCCAGCACGACACCATGCTCTGCATGCCCTCGTCCACGCGCAGCTCCTCGCCCGGAAACGCGAAGTCGCCCACGCCCAGTACTGGGGCGCCGTGTGGGCGACGGTGCCGCGCCATTCGCCGGGCAGCCAGCGCTCCTCCCACCACCAGCGCCAGCGCACCGCACACGCCCACTGCGCTCGCCGCGCCCACCACACCCGAGCCGATGTTCGATCGTTCCGACAACGCCGAACTCCAACTTCTAAACTTACCGCCGGGGTCAATAACGTTCACGACCGTCCCCCAATCCTCGACACCATCCAGCGAACGCAAGGAGCTCGTAGCTAACGTCACGACCGGGACCCACGTGCCCAAATCTGCAGCGCTCTCATATAGAAAGTATGTCTGTCGGGAGATTTCGAATCTTGTCTTTTCTGCTTCCACGTGTCGCTCAATGGCGTCCAGTACTTCATCATAAATGGTATTCGGTGAGGACGTTTTCGATTTGTATTCTAGACTAACGTCGCTGAGAATCAGCGGACGAACTCCATTAACGTTGTTTAACCATTCAGAGATGACGCTTCGTCGCAAGCGACGACTGGCCGGCGATTGGCGTCTGCGGCGAACAAAAAACGAACGAGATCTTTCTTCTATTACACTTTTTCCACTACCTTTCGTGAAGCTATGATAGAGGGTCGAATTTATTTTATTTTTCTTAATTTTTGCTTTAATTTTTTGTGAAGAGTCCACTTTATCCCTTTCGTAATATCGATCAATAGTGCTTTCTGTTATTTGAGAAATATTATTGCTTAAATTTTTAGAATAAGGTAACCGACCGACGGACGAATGTACTAATACTAAAGTTGACAAAGAGTTTTCATTCGGTATATCTAGGGGAGCCTGTGCGTCATGTATCACAGTGAGGTCGTCATCGAGCGCAAGGTGCAGGAGGAGTACCGCCGGCGCGCCCGCCCCGCCCCGCAGCCAGCGCAAGGAGTCCACGTTAGAAGAGCACAAAATCACAGCTGGAAATTAAAAAGTTAAAGTGGATCAGATTTCACACGAACCAACATTTTAACACATTTCTGATATTATAAAATCATTTGTCTTTTACATACATGACAAGTGTTTGCCACGACAGAATTATTGTAAAATTTTTCTTAATAAAAAAATTCAACATGTGACAAATTCAACGGAACATATACATAGTCACCGAAGTCTTCTGAACTTTCTTGTTTTCTTAATAAAACTATATATACGGATTTTATCGCGTTTAATTAACTTATTTTTAAATCCCAACGTTTCGAGCGCTATACAGCACCCATGGTCATTGGTCACGGGGGGGGGACTGAGATGTTTGACGTCCCAATGTCATAGTTAGCCCAGGTACCTCCAGTTCCTAAATATTAATTTTGATCCGATCTACGCAGAACGAGCTTATATTATCTTGAAGTCTTGCAATGGTATGCTTGGATTTGGATTTAATTTTGTTAATTATAGGATCCCAAGGAGATGGCAGCACCTATCCATCTTCTTTATTGAAATTTGGATGTTTTTTAATTTCAATAGCCTCGCGATCATCCTTGGTAGGAATCAGTGTTCTTTTGCGAGGATTTGTGCTTTGTGCTTCACGTCAGCTATATGTTCTTTCACGCGGGTTTTTATAGATCTTTGTGTTTAACCTATTTAAGAGAGACCACATTCACAATCTAGTTTGTACACTCCTACATCTTGTGGAAGAATGTGTACTCGATGGATGGTAAAAATTGACTAATCTTCTTCGGAAGCTTGTAGTATGTCTTAATGGAAGCTCGCTTCAAAATGTAGCCAAATTTGTTAATGACTTCTGTGACATATGGTGCGGCACAGTACAGCAGGCACACGTTGGGCTGCGGCTGGTTTTACTAGGTTACTGCGATGTAGGTGCGGGACACCAAGCTTATTGTCTTGCGATACTTGCTTGACGTGCTGGAGTTCCGCGGTCAGGTGTTTACCGCGGTCAGGTGTTACAGATCCCTCGTGCTTTCTGAAATAAAGATTTATCTACGGTAGCTAACTGTGAAGGATAGTTTAAGATTCACCATTTAAACATCGGCTGGTATCGGTCTTTTTTCTATACACAGTATCTATGGTAAAATTGTGAAAGTATCGTTTACGTACCGCTTGTAGAATCTCGGATTTGTAGGAGCAGTAAGAAGGGTTTTCTTCTCAAAGTACTCCATGAATATGTCGGCGACTATGGGAGATATAGGTGAGCCCATTGCCACACGCCACAGATAGCCAGATGTGAGGCAGTGTTTGAGTAATACTGCATATTAAGCAGGCATGTTGTTATCTTCCAGCTTCCTAGTTACAATTGAGATGCAGTCTTCAATAGGTAGGCATGTGAATAGTGACTGAACATCAAAACTGACCATGGTTTCATTGTCAGCGAGATGTAGGTATTTTATCTCACTATTAAAATAGTATGAATCTATTGTGTGTGTTCTGGTGGTTCTTTCAGTGGTGACAGTATTGTGCCAGCTTACAAGTCGATCTGGCTCAGTATGCGACGTAGTGGAGCGTTTGGTTTGTGTGAAACGTCGGTAATCAAAAATAAGTTAAAATAAGTTAATTAAACGCGATAAAATCCGTATATATAGTTTTATTAAATGTAGTGCTGGCGTAAATTTAAGAAATCTTTATTTTGTCTTCTGTTTATCTTCGTTTATTAATATTATATATGTTTAATCTCAATTTTCCATCCATTTCAGCTTTTTCAGCCATTTATTGTCATTACCCTATGACTTTTACCTATTTTTAACAAATGGCTTATTATTGAAAAACTAATATTTGTATACGAAATATAGGATATATTATATATATAGTTCATATTGATAAAGAATTGGTTTAGACATGGAGGCTCATCGAGCACGTACCGTCAACGTGCACAGTACCAATAGCGAAAACCCGCTAATAATGGTATATCGTTATATTATTCGATTAATTGGAAATTTTATATTAATAGCAAAATATTTGAAAAGAATATTTAATTTTTTATATAAAATTAAAATAGCACTCAGTAACTAGTGACGCGCACTGGCTTCGCCTGCACGGTATTGCGTTATTTAGATGTAAGATAATCTTGAAAGACCATTTGTTGTATGTTATCAATATTTCTATTGTAATAGAATTTATAAATTTTTGGATAACGTTTAGTCTAAATCACTCCTGATATTACTTCTTATTTGTTCGTAAAGATGACAACACCTTCAAGACGACACACTCAAACGTTATTCAATTTCAAGATGTCGTTAAGTCTCGTGGTGTCACGGTCACTTTGATTAAAGTGACAGAGACAGCACGACAGACTTAACGGCGTCTTAAAATTGTTTGAGTATTTGGGCATTAAATCCACAAATCTATTGGCTTTATGTCAACGGTTCAATAACAATAAAGTATTATAAAATCTTATCTCAGAAAAAATGTTGGTTATCAATCGAGCAAGGCTTATAATAAACCCTAGGAACGATTATACTGCTAGTAACTCATCATCATTATCAATACACCCCTTCACAAGTAAGCCGCTGAATGTAGGCCTCTCCTAAGAAACATCACAAATCGACTTCCTGCATCTCTTGCTAGGTCCTCACTCCATCCCGTAGGGGGCCGCGTTGAGCTTCGTTTGCTTGTACGGGGCTGCCACTCGAAAACTTTCCTACTCCATTTTTTGCCAGTTCTTCAAGATTGCCGACCCATCGTCGCTTCACTTAACCGTTGGGCAATATCCTCATTACGAAGTCTATCACGCAGAGAAATAGAGCATACCACTCTCCATCGCTCACTGAGTAACTTTAAGCTTCCTCATACGGCCCCCAGTGAAGGACCTTATTTATATTTCGTAAGTCATTAGTTTAACGTCGTCGTCGTCGTGTAAAGTCATTAGGAAAACTGGCTCTTGTGGTCACTTTTTATCTCAAGAACTTATCGCAATCATCCGGACGCTGCCTTGCCGAGTTGGATTCATCGTTTTTTCTTTTTATCGAAGTACGACTTGCTTAATCAGACATATTCACGCCATGTGAGGGTGGTGTAAGAGAATCCATTACTCCGTTTCATCGCAGGTGATTATGGGAAATGAAATTGGAGATGAGGAGCAGCATCTTCCGATAGCAACTCAAAATAATAAAAAAACTGCGGTTGCATACTCAGACGGATAATCCCAGTGACGATGACAAAAACATAGCCATGCGAAGAATATAGAATGTATCAGTGGAAAACAAATACAGCCCATGCGAAGAATATAGAATGTATCAGTAGAAAACAAATACGCCCAAGCGAAGAATATAGAATGTATCAGTGGAAAACAAATACGCCCATGCGAAGAATATAGAATGTATCAGTGGAAAACAAATACAGCCCATGCGAACAATATAGAATGTATCAGTGGAAAACAAATACGCCCATGCGAAGAATATAGAATGTATCAGTGGAAAACAAATACAGCCCAAGCGAAGAAAATAGAATGTATCAGTGGAAAACAAATACGCCCATGCGAAGAATATAGAATGTATCAGTGGAAAACAAATACGCCCATGCGAAGAATATAGAAGTTATCAGTGGAAAACAAATACAGCCCATGCGAAGTATATAGAATGTATCAGTGGAAAACAAATACGCCTATGCGAAGAATATAGAATGTATCAATGGAAAACAAATACGCCCATGCGAAGAATATAGAATGTATCAGTGGAAAACAAATACAGCCCATGCGAAGAATATAGAATGTATCAGTGGAAAACAAATACGCCCATGCGAAGAATATAGAATGTATCAGTGTGTGACGGCCCAATATTATTATTAATAATTAAATTCAATATAAAGGGGCGTCACAAATAGTCTTAAAAGATATATATTAAGCAATTAAGTTAAATTAATAAACATAAAGTTAATATATTTCAGACATTATCCCCATAACATAGTAAATTAAAGGCAAAATTATTGTTTTTCGTAATAAATAAATTTATTTAAAAAAAGGCAACTTTTTTGGTGGGTGAGACAAACATGATAGAAAATGCATTAACTCAACGTCAGTGACACAAACCCTTTCTGATGGCGAATTATTACTCTTGTGTTATAACTGCCTTTTGGCTATATCTGCCGTTGTATTGGTTGGTGGAGCATATGTGTCGACCTCATGCGGGTGGTAGCTGGCGGGAGGATCTGAGGAGACTCTCAAGGCTGCGGCCGAAAGCCGCACAACGTGGGACCCCATTCCCTTGAGGTGAGCAGTAGACTCATGACACGCTCTGCGGCTAGTAGCCGTGCTGATCATGCAATTGGTGGTGATGCCATACACTTACATCACGTCTGCAGGAGCGGCGGTCTGGCAGGTGGTGGCGCTCACGGAGGGTTTACGGTCAGTGTGCCTATTTGCCTAAACCGTGTGACGTACATTCACTGTGGCTGGATTCGTTCGTATTCTGTATGGCGTTTACACGCATTGACATGCGCGACTTCGGTCGATGTTTGTGCTTACGCACTAACAAGGGGCCAAGCCTCTTTTACTGGTTCGCCAGTTATTTTGCTGTGGACTACGGTCCAGTTCCCGAATTAGCGTTCCCTTCGGGGGGAGTGCATCAAAATGGTTGGCGCTCACCGTGCACGGCGTGTGTGGGGCCGTGTACCTCCCCTACATTTTTTCAAATAAATGTAGGAGAGCGAAGCCCTCGTATCGGGTATTTTTGTATAAATATATTGTGAGCCTTTTCCAAGCGGGAAGGGATAAATAATAATAAATTAATAATGTCAACCTGATACAAGTGGAATAAAGACATTTTACGTTCTTCACCTTTCTCGAGCCCTGTCTTCGTGAACGGGGTTCACTTAGCTTATAAGGCACTACCAACAGCTTTCAATTGCTCTAGTGAATATTCATTCTTCCAAAGGACACCTAAAAGAACTAAGTTACTAAACAAACACAACGTAAATAAGGGTCCTAACTAAGACGATCACGCCAAAATATTACAAACGGCCTATTATTAAACCTTTAGAAAGATCATTTAGAAAGATCTAAACATAATTTATTAATCCTGGTCACATATATATAATTTTTAATATAAAGGGGAATATAATACATTTAGTATTTTATATATTTATTATTATGAGAGGGGGGGAAGCGTTACAAGTGGAAAACAAATACAGCCCATGCGAAGAATATAGAATGTATCAGTGGAAAACAAATATCCCATCCGAAGAATATAGAATGTATCAGTGGAAAACAAATATAGCCCATGCGAATAATATAGAATGTATCAGTGGAAAACAAATACAGCCCATGCGAAGAATATAGAATGTATCAGTGGAAAACAAATATAGCCCATGCGAAGATTATAGAATGTATCAGTGGAAAACAAATATAGCCCATGCGAAGAATATAGAATGTATCAGTGGAAAACAAATATAGCTCATGCGAAGAATATAGAATGTATCAGTGGAAAACAAGTTCTGATGTTCGGCAGTAGTTTGGATAGGCTGTAAGAATGATAACTATAATAATGATAAATACTTCGGGTGTAGTGCTCCAGGTGTGTGTTACGGATGTAACATGGGCATTAGATATGATTTTTGTCTTGTCTATGTTCATCTTAAGACTCGTAATATACTCACATTGACAACATGTTTTTCAATGGGAGCATATTAGTATAATACGATTTTCGTACGTGGAACATGGTATGGTGGGTGTAAAGCGGGAGACCCTTTTGACAGAAAACGAGGCGTGACAACGCATCTGCATTTTGTTCCTTGATCGATAATAAATAAATGTAGATGTAAATGCCATAATGTAGATGCCAATACATCCACTTACCAACAGGCGCATTGTGTGCTCATTTGTGACCCTTATTCTGTAAAAAAAACAACCATCAACGCTTACCGTGTGGATGTTGATCGAGCTGATGATGCGAGAGTGGTCCTCGGCTAACGAGCAGGCCCGCTGCAGTTAGCTCGAGAGCGACCGCCAGCATTGCAGTCGCACACTCGCCGCTTTGCGCATTCGGCGGAAGGAGCACTCTGCGCCAGTGCAAGCGAGACGCAAGGAAGGTTACAGAAGCTGCGCGGGCGGAAGTCGCGGCGCAGGTGGTGGGCTGCGGCGTGCGCAGCAAGCGCGCGGCGGCTGCTGGCGCACCGCAAGCCTCAGCGCCCGCCCACCCCGCGCACACCGCCACCTCCCCCGCAACCAGCGCCCGCAGCATACCCCGCGTCACCAACACACGCCATCCCGAGCCACACGTCTCTACGGGGACCAACCGGATACAATTAATTTCAATAATCATTTTGAGATTTCACATAGATTTGAATATCTAGTTGACATAGAAAAGAATAAGCTGATAAATATAAAAAATTATAAATTAGGTGACGGGACGTAATACGTTATGTGGTAAAACATTTTCTCTATAAAACAACGTTACTGATTACGCGAAATTCGTCTTATATGCGGGATAAGTGTGACAGTATTAACTCTACTCTCATTTTTAGATAGTGGTAATGTTTTAAAGAAAAAATAGGTTTTTCAATATTTGAATGTAAAAACGGCTGGGAAATTATTTTGTTTATTTAATTTAAACAATATAAACGAAAAGTCACACTTTGTAAAACAGGTAGCCTGGTTGTCCGATGGTGAAAGAGGAGTAAAGAATGTCTTTTCTTGAACACACTGTCCAAAACTTATTCAGTAACAAATCAGTGACCAAAAATTGAGCAGACATAAAATATTTTGAAAAATGCTAAATGAAACTAAAAACAAGGTTATACTAATATTTACAGTAAAATATTAAAATAATATTTTACTGTAAATATTAGTATAAATATTTTACTGTAAATATAAGTAAATATTAAATTAAAATATAATAGATTTTTTTTGTTTAAAAGAATATTAGTAATCCTATTAATTAACATTACTAATATTCCCTTTAACCACTCCTGGTAAGCTGAAAATGCTTGTGTTAGGAGTGGTTCACGCCAGTAGTCGAATGGTGGATTCGAACCCACGACCTTTTGAGTTCGCGGTCCGCGCCCTGCCATAAAGCTACTGTCGCTTTAATTACATAGAATACATGAAACAAATAAAAAAATCTGACCATAAAATTAAACGATGTGAAAAGTTATTAATAATAAAACCGGTAAAAATAAAATAAACTTATTTCAAAATATAATTTTATAAGAAAATAATACATTAATTTCTAGTAATTCTAGTATGATCAACTGATTTTCATGTTTAGGTGGATCATTTTCTTTGCAATCGCTTTTTATATTAGATTTTGTTTTTTTTCCTTTGCCCTTCCCTTTAGTGACTCCATTCAATATTTTTTCATTTTTCTGCTGTTTTTTTTTTCTTTTGGGACTAAACAAGGTATGTATTCTGGATCAGTCATCTCAATATAGTCTTCATCGCTCGATAATAACACACTTTTTCCTGGATGAACCTGAAGCTTTTTTTTGGATTCAAATATATTATTCGTCCCGTATCGCATATCTTTTAAATACTCCAAGACTGTCTCATCAACGATTTCGGGTTGTTGATGTTCAGTTTGATTGTCCCAATCAGGCAATTTTTTAAAACCGCTGAGGGATCAAAGGGATTTATCCCTGTTTTTCTGAAGCCAGAAATAACATTTGCTGAGCCATTTTCTTTTAATTTTTCCATTAATTTACTAAGTAATTTGGGAAAACAACCTTTTGGAAAAGAAGATTGATTTCGACCATCAATTTTCATCGGTCTGAAGAACGCAACGTCGAGTGGTTGCGTAATATGCGTGGAATTGGCTGGTAAGAAAATAAAATGTATATCCTTTTCATAGCATTTTCTTATTAAATCAATTGATAGGTGGGATGATAAGTTATCACCTATCAAACATTTTTACCGGGTTTATTTTCAAAAAACGGAATTATCATACTGATAACCCAATCTTCAAAAATGTTAGAATCAAACCAGCCAGATTGACTTCTATTATAACGGGCTCCTTTTGGGCCAGATTTTATCCAAGTATCGAATAAGTTCTGAGCCTTATAAACTACACATGGGGGTAAGATTTCTCCTGCAGCCGTACACGCCATCATAATTGAAATTGAAGCGTTTGAAGAATTCATCACCCTTTCAGAGTATTTTGTTCCTCTCTTAGTAATGATCTTTTTTCTGCCGGGATCATCAGCTAAATTCGTTTCGTCGTAGTTGACTATATTTTCGATCGGAACATCACTAATAGAAATTTGTAACCGTTGAAAATACTCTTTAATAGTATCTGGAGAGACTACAGCTCGATTCCTTTTAATATTTTGTGATACCCTCTGAGTTATTTTATCACTGTGCCTTTTCAAAAAACTTCTGGCGAAACCCGGCCCAGGTAAGTTATTTTTAAATCTTTTTTCCGTAACGCCTAATCTATCCAAATAATTTTTAACTAAAACCCTTAAGTCATAAAGTTCCATAGGATATCCCCATTCGGCACATACGTTAATGTATTTTATAAATTGAAGTTCCGTCTCCTTTGATAGCACTGTCTCACTTCCTTGGGTCTTCACATTTTTAATACTGTGTCTATAGAGGACAGATTTATTAATTTGAAATTTTTCGGCAACGTTGCTCAAGGAATTGCTCCCCACGCTATACGAAGAGCCTGCTCGATGAGTTTTGCTATACTTTTTATATCTCTTGCCACGAGGATCTGGCTTGTAACTCGGCATGATGTTCACAGCGCGATGTGGCGTATCTGTTTAAAATAATCATGAAGAATTCGTGAAAATCAAGTACATGTAATTCTAATGTGAATTAATTATAATTCGAACACAAAATACTAATCGTCGCTACAGTCACTTACGCATGTGAGTTAAAATTAACCAAGTAAAAACAAAGTAGAATTTAGAATACCTAATATTTAAATGTATTATTGAATATTAAAAAAATAGGACATAACGAGAATATGTATTTTTAAGAATAAGTCTTTCTGCAAATGAACCCACAATAACCTAGGGCATTTTTATAATGAGGCTAATTGCTAATATATCCTTAAACGGTCTTAAACAATTATCTCAGTAATCCAGAAAATATTAAATTAAATTAACCAAAGCCGTTGAAGATAAAAAATCTAAATTTCAAATTAAAGTGTCACAGAAAAACATTTTAACAAAAAATTTTAAATGAAAACTGTCATGATGAAAAAATACTCGATTGACAACCCTGGAAATCTTGTTTCTATTAACCTCTTTTTCATTGCTATTAACCCCTCACTCATATCTATTCACCCCTTTCTTCGTGTCTATTGGCCCTAAAGGCGTTTCTAATCACCCCCGACTCGGTTATATTCACCTCGAAATCAGTAAAAAAATACTATCTCGATTTTACTAAAAAATAAGAACAAAATGATGGAATATTGATACTAACCTTTTTATTCCTAATAGATGAGAAACTTAACAGACTATAGAGCAACTAGAACGACCATAATCAATTTCTCATATTTGTTTCTATACACCCCGCGATTTGTATTCGCCCCATTTTTCGGTACAGTTGCGAAAAAATTAAGCAATTTAATAAAATAATAAAAACACAATAAACTCAACTAACGAATCATTTATTTCTTATAAAAGTTATAATTCACATATAGGTACATTGAAATTGGTACAGTTTTTTATACTAACTGGTGAAGTTTTAGGTTGCAACTAACAAACTATTATTAATTTCTTATGATTGTTCATGTATATTTGTCAAAGGTGTTATACAATGGCATTTGCTAGCTGATGGAATTGGATCTGATGAATTATCATTATCAACAAAGGTAGATGGACGAACGTTCTCTTCAGTGTTGTCATGTGAAGGAGATGGACTGGACTTTAAATTAATGGATTGTAAGATTTTTTCCCAGTTTCTAGTTTGTTGTTTAACGAATCAGCAATATAGCCTTCTGCCAACTGCCTCGTTGGTCTAGTGGTTATAGTAGTACGACTGCTGACTGCTATCATGAGGTCCTGGGTTCGAATCCCGGGTCGGGCCAAAAAATTAACTCGGTCTGGAGGACTTTATTATTATTATAGCCTTCTGCAACTTTGTCTGACTTCCAACCTCCTAGTCGCTTTAAGGACGTCAAATTGGCTCCTGAATCTGCCAATAATATAGCAGAGGTCCTCCTGAAGCTGTGCCCAGTATAATACTCAGCATCTGGCAGACCAAGAACCACGTAGCTATTTCTTGGCATATTATCATATTTGTTTATCTCGATTGCTTGAGCTGTACACTTCCTTTTTTGATAATTTTGGAAAAAAACGGTCGGTTTTTGCTTTTTGGGACCGCTGATTCATATATTTTTGCACTATCCTAAGAAAATCTTCTTTAAAAACAAAGCTTCTCGGTATCTTATTTTTTGTATTTAGAATCTTGATTAGTAGCATTTTTCCACGGGCTTCAATATCTTTTAAAATAACATTGGCTAACTCCTCTCTGCGGCAAGCTCCAACAACGCCAAAAATCAGCGCACCTACAAAAAATGGATTTGATTAATATTTTTTTATATAATATATTGACTGTATTTTGCGATTCCGTAAACTGAATACTAAAGAAACATATAAGTATTTATTAATAAATTACCTTTGTGGCTAAATAACGATCATCGTGAGTTTCGTTCAAAAACCTTTCCACTTCATTCGATGTTAATATTTTCAACTTTTTAGTTATAAAACCATCAGATTGTCATTTTAAAAAAGCATTTAGTTTTGGGTATTCATTTATATCTACGTTGTTCCTTACTTTCAGCATAATATTTATCATTGAAAACCTCGACCATAACGTATTTAAGTATGCCAACATAACATTTTCTGAAAAACTATTTGCTTTTTTGTCTTCTCTCCAAGCAGTTAATTCGTCATATGTAGTTATGTAGAGACTTTTTGACTTTTCCGGTAAAATGTTCTCCGAAGCATTTTGTGCAATTATACTGAGTTCCAGTGGTGTTAATTCAAATAAAATATCGTCGAAATTACTCATTTTGTGCAACAAACAACTAGACTCGCAAAGAACATTTTTGTAAAATGGCGCCAACCATAAAAGAATATAAGCAGAGATTTTGCTTTCTTCACCCATTCTGGGTAGGCAAAGGGAACTATGCCCATACAGCCAAGACTTCAGTAGAATTTTTTTATTGATATGAAATGAAAATGAAATTTAATGAGATGAAATGAAATGGAACCTAACTTAATTTACTGAATCAAATCATTAAATCTGATATTGAAACAAATTAGTAGCTTCTT